AGAATAGTTCAGATTTCACGCTGAGAGGTCAACTTTTAAATCATCTGTTAGGGTTAAGGACACTTCGATATTCTCAACAAGACATGGTTCTAAGTGTTACCACTAATATAAAGTAGGTATCCAGAACTGACCTCCGTTTTATATATTGTACATTTTTGAACTGGAAAATATATTTATTCATTTAAAATTTTTATTGTGTTTTCATAGTGTTAAGATTCCAAAATTATTGAAAAAAAACAAACCAACAAACAGAACAGCCATTATTCATTTGCACGGGATTTTGCACATTATTATATAAGCACCACAAATGATACACAATTATATTAATTTCTTTCATAAATCGTTCCACATTGGTATTTCTTGTTTCCATTTTATATCTTTATAATATCGTTACTTAATTATATGACACATAATTTAAAAACATGTCTTTTAGAGGCATATTTGTGAACTGTTTATTCAAACGCTATTGAGAATAAACAAAAGAAACACGGTATAACAAAATGCGCGAAATCTACTAAACACTTCCGAAACGGAGTGCCATCAGGAATGGCGTCCTCTAAGGCCATATTATATTTTTGTTTTAGTTTCCCTAAAAGGAAAATAGGCTACATAATTGCGTAACGATGTGCATTTAATCTATTAGAAAACAAAGTTACACAATGAGCTATCTGCACTCTGTCCACAACGGAGAATCGAACTCCAGATTTTTTCGGCATAAGTTTGTAGACTTACCGCTGACCCTCCGGAGGATTAAAATAGGGGACAATAAAAGAGGCACTGAATTTATATAAATAAAATAAGACTTTTGTCCGTACATTGCTTAGAATAGTGTACTTTTTGTATATCTTCACGTTTCATACACCAGAGAAGCCGAAACAAGCCTTATCTCAATTTCTGTCTGTCTGTTGGTAACGCTCGCGGACGTGTTTTTGTTCGCTTTTCACGGGAAAACGAGTGCACCGTTTTCGATGAAACTTTTTTCTTTGTTTTACAGATGTGTAAGAAAGTTATAGGCTACTTGAAACTGTCATACGCCTTTTGGAAAGAAAATGGCGGCCGCTCAAAAACCTGCTTTGGTGCGGTTTTGGATGTGATTTTGTTCGCTTTTCACAAGGGAAACGGGTGCACTGATTTCGATGAAACTTTTTTTCTTTGTTTTATAGATGTGTAAGAAGGTTATAGGCTACTTGAAACTGTCATACGCCTTTTGGAAAGAAAATGGCAGCCGCTCAAAAACCCGCTCTGGTGCGGCTTTGGACGTGATTTTGTTCGCTTTTCACAGGGAAACGGGTGCACTGATTTCGATGAAACTTTTTTTCTTTGTTCTATAGATGTGTAAGAAGGTTATAAGCTACTT